ACACACACACACACACATTCCATTGATAGGATGAGCAAAAACGGAATGAATCTTCCGCTGAGCAAAATCGGAATGAATCCTTCGTGTGTGTGTGTGTGTGTCTGTGTGTGTGAGAGAGAGAGAGAGACAGAGAGAGAGAGAGACGATAAGTCTCCGACCTCGCGGCTCGCGCCATGCTACTTCCATCGATAGGATGAGCAACATCCAATGAATCTTTGGTTAGAACATGCAAATATACACTACCTGGTTGAATATGGCCGACCGCGTAATGCTACTTCCAGCAATAGGATGAGCAAAATCAAATGAATCTTCCCCTAGAACATGGAAATATTCACTACCTGGTTGAACATGGCCAACAACTTCTACGGCGCGGCGCGAAAAAAAACCGTAGCGAAAAAAGAGCCCGTTCATAAAGACGCGCCGACTCCAACCCCCCCCCGGCGCGGCGCGAAAAAAAACCGTAGCGAAAAAAGAGCCCGTTCATAAAGTCGCGCCGACACCAACCCCCCCCAAAAAAATGGCAGTAAACAGAAAAACCCGCCGGGCCCACAAAGCCGCGCCAACACCAACCCAAAAAAAAAAAACGGCCCTTAACAAAAAATTGCGCCGGGCCCAAGGTGCACCGGGCCCACGCGGGAAAGGTCTCAGCGGAACGCGTCACGCGAGACCCGCGTTTTGCTTTAGAGTACTAGGGAAAAACTAAAACGAAACAAAGAAGCAACCCCGCTTCGCAAGTGAATGCTATATCAATCCATGTCTTGCTATAGCCGGCAAAACACATTTCAGCCACCAGCCAACGTAGGCTTTGACTTTTGCAAACAAATCTGGCCACAATTTCGGCCATATGCATCCTAACACAGCCAGAATAAGGCCACAGCAGCCAAAGTAGACTTAAGCCTATTTCAGCCGAATCTGGCCACATTTTCGGCCATCTATATCCTGAATAATCCGATTGTGAGGATTCCCTTCAGGACTTTCGTGCAAGTTACTCGAGACGTTGGCGGTCCCATCTGATGAGACCAGCAGGTCCCACTTGCACCGAACCCAGCAGCACAGCTGGAAGGAACACAGTTTGTGCCAAATTTGAGGATGGACACCGGTAATCGACCAGAGGGGCGCACCACTCCACCTGAGTTGAGATGTACCCTATTTTTCCAACCTGCTAAAGTCGCCAGAATAGGGGCTGTACCCTATTTTGCTCACCTGCTGTCGTGGCCAGAATAGGCCGCAGCCAAGACTGGGCTGTATAGCCTGAGTCCCAGCATCCTGTTAGGTGGGAATAGTCTGCAGCCTAGCCTATTCCAGCAGTCTTAGACTTGAGTTTGGAGAATGCTGGGAATCAATCAGGCACCACGCCAACAAAGTCATTCTTTGATTCAGCAACATGTAGGCAGCTGGCTACAAGGCTGCTTCGCTTGCAAGGAAACAAGAGGGGATACCACCGAAACTTTCTTCTTTCTTTTACTGCGAGCGTTTTGTTTGGGAAGCCGTTACCTTCTCAGGATCGTTTTTGTTTTTTTTTTTTCGCTGTGTGAAATGACCCACACAGTTCAAGCCCGAGAACTCTGATTTTTTCTGAGAAAACGCTGTCCCGTTAATCTGTTTGTTCAGGATTCCGATTCCGAGTCTGCTTGCTGTGTAATCTGAAAATGCTTGTGATCAACCCATCTCGTGTCTATGGCATGTGCGTACTTACTGATTTTTGACTCTCTGTGCAAGTGTGTGTGTGTGTGTGCAAGTGTGTGTGTGTGTGTGCGTGTGCAAGTGTGTGTGTGCGCGTGCGCAAGTGCATGTATGTGTGTGCCCGCATGCCAAGTGCACGTATGTACGTGTGTATGCGTGTGCAAGTGCATGTACATGTGTGTGTGGATCTGCATGTGCAAGTGCAAGTGCATGCATGGGTGTGTATGCGTGTTTGCAAGTGCATGTATGTGTGTTGTCATATCCGCTACACACAACTCCACAGAGAAAAGCATGACTGAGCCACACTGCTTCGCCGGCCTTTCACAAACTCATCAGGAGGTTGAACCCCGGGAGTCTGCCCAGAATGTATTTGACTAATGGATGAGGACACCACGTCGCCCAGAGGTAGTGATACCCGTGCAGAGGAAAGTGGTGGACTTTACTCACACTAACCCTGCAATCCTAGCAGAATGTCGGCCCCAACCCCCGACAAAAAGGCAGTAAGTCGGAGAAACTAATCTGTGACAGCCATGAAACCCACTCTGCATGAGCAAGTCCATGTCTGTGTACGTGTGTGCGTGTGCAAGTGCACGTATGTGTGTGTGGGCGTGCGCATATACGTGTGTGTGTGTGTGTGCAAGTGCATGTATTTGTGTGTGCAAGTGCATGTATGTGTGTGTGTGTTTTTGCAAGTGCATCAATGTGTGTGTGCTTGCGCAAGTGCATGTACGGGTGTGTGTTTCAGTTCGGTGGGCCGAGATGGTGAGCATTGGCCAGGGGGAGTTGTTCGAAGTCGCCTTCCATTATAAGCGTCCCACTCTTGTTAAGCAGGTCTAGTAATGCATGAATGAAGTAATCAGCATCCAATCTACATGGCAGTTACTGTTCACCGGGGCGAGTTGTCGGAAGTAGTGTCGTCATGTAAGCCGTAGAGCGGGACAGGCATCTTGGAGTGTTGTCATGTAAGCCGTAAAGCTGGACAGGCATCTTGGAGAATCTCCTGGAAGGCAAAAGCCAAACAAGAAACCGAGCAGCACGGGTCAGAATCACTTCGTGGACAGTGTGGCAAACTCTCTCTCTCTCTCTCTCTCTCTCTCTCTCTCTCTCTCTCTCTCTCTCTCTCTCTCTCTCTCTCTCTCTCTCTCTC